TGGTCACACTGTTTTTAATACAGGCCAAAAGGAAAACTTCCTGAAAAGCATTTTTTACTGGATTTTAAGTCTTGGGTCTTTTCCTGCTGGTAGGAAGCTGATTAGCACTCCCAAAGGTGGATGTCCTTACAGTGAGTTATGTGATTTGATTGTATCAGACATTGAACTGTCAAAAAAGAGGCCATTTTAATAATTCTTACTCTAGGGAGAGAAATACTAGGCCATAGACTTCCATGTAACTTCTACATCTCTCCTCTATCCAGTCCTGAAGGTAAAAGCAAACATTGCAGGAAGTCTTCCATGGCTCAGTACTAAAAAAATAGGGACCGAACAATTTCCCAGTCAGTTAACCAGAAAGTCAAAAATCCTTCTGGATATCACAAACATTCCACTGAACCCGAAGCAAAGGGTCTAACAGTTAAAATAATTAACACAAAGTTACCAAAAAGCAGCTTAAGAACCAAGGATAAAAAAGCCTGCCCCAAACTAAATCCATGACCTTTTTCATAGCTTGAGGAAGTCGGATGAACAGCGGTGGTTAGGCTGTCTACGAATGGGCTGCATGGCTATGACTGTTCAATTTATTGTCAAGGCCGCCAGAAAATTTGTGGCAGGTTCATTTTGGGGAAGGTTATTCCATTCTTGGCAAATTAGGACTAGATGTCTTGGGAAAACCTTAGAGTTTTTACTCTCCTTGTAGTAGTTTTACTCTCCTTGTAGTAGTTTTTACTACTCCATGTTATTGTCCTAAATTGATCTTGTGTTTCAGTCTTTGTCACATGCACCCCTAGAAAATTCACAGGTGCTAAAGCCCTTACATGGAAGACGGCTCAGGCCATGCTGACAGGACCACAGACTACGTCCTGGATTGGGCTCAAATCTCTAGAGCAGCACAGTTCAACAAAATCTCTCAGTGGTAAGCAAGAGTATTTCCTTCTGGGATCCCCAGTTCTGAAACCTTTCCCATGCATCAAGTTTTTAAAGTCTGTAAGCCCAGGAGAAGCAGGTGGCTGATAAAGCAGCAGAGATGGAAAAATCTCACACAGACGTGGATTTCCTCCATGGAACCCTTTGGGAATCGTACAGTCTGTGGAATGATGGGCCTGAGCTTCCTGCCACCCACAACTGCAAGAAACTCTTGAGAAATCATAGAATCACAGAACACAGAACGTTAGGGATTGGAAGGGCCCTCCAAAGCTCATCCAGTCCAATCCCCCTGCCGGAGCAGGAACACCCAGATGAGGTTACACAGGAAGGCGTCCAGGCGGGTTTTGAATGTCTGCAGAGAAGGAGACCCCACAACCTCTCTGGGCAGCCTGGGCCAGGGCTCTGTCACCCTCACTGAGAAGAAGTTTCTTCTCAAATTGAAGTGGAACCTCCTGTGTTCCAGTTTGTGTCCGTTACCCCTTGTCTTCTCATTGTTTGTCACCGAGAAGAGCCTGGCTCCATCCTCGTGACACTCACCCTTTAAATATTTATAAACATGAATAGGCCGCCCCTCAGTCTCCTCTTCTGCAAACTAAAGAGCCCCAGCTCCCTCAGCCGCTCCTCAGAAGGGAGATGCTCCACTCCCTCCATCATCTTTGTAGCCCTACGCTGGACTCTCTCCAGCAGTTCCTGTCCTTCTTGAACTGAGGGGCCCAGAACTGAACACAATATTCCAGATGTGGTCTCACCAGGGCAGAGTAGAGCGGAATCAATGCATCTTTCTGCTTAGATATCCACAGGTGGCACTATTCGAAGTCCGAGTGCTCAAAGGAATCACTCTGGAGGGGTAGTGCTCTGCAAAGAAACACTGCTATGCCAAAGCACCAAGCTTGCTAATGGCAGCTAAATCCTGTCACCTCATATTGTGAGTGCTCAACCGTGTGTGTGGTTGTAAGGCAGCATTTCAAAACCTTCCTCCGGAGTGAGGTACAACAAGGAGTCACCAAGCCTTAAAACTGAACTTTGGGAAATCCAGGTGGTTGTGCACTATAAGTGAAAGACCCCAGAACAGATGTGCCAGTCTGTATAGTACTTTTAGAGCTAAAACCTTCTCAAATCAAAATCAGGTTTGGTCTAGGAGCATGTAATACTTCAGTTATGTGGTGTGCATGGTACCTTTCCAAGATCAGAAACTCCCTGCAAGTGCTACAGCTGTTCCAGAAAGTAAAAAAGGTCCTTTTCCTCTGCAAGATGCTGCAAATTATAATGTGACAACAGCTCTTAGCACTAAAAAGAGCTGAATATTAGTCCACCCTGCATTTATTAAATGGTGTCAAAAACATACTTTTGTTGCCTATACCTGACACGTCACTAAAAGCACAGGTTTCAGAACCAGGGGATCACAGTAGGAACAGGTAACTCATATTTGGGAAATGATTAATCATGCAATTAAGATTAAATACAGAAGTGTGAAGGTTTTATGCAACTAAGTACAAAAAAACCCTACAAACTACCCAACACTTCTGTACGCCTGCAGTTTTCTGCTTGCCATTCCACTGATTGATATTGTCAAGATTTAAAAATCTAATCCTGTAGAAATCTATGCAAACAGTATCTTTAAAAGTTAAGGCAGAAGGTGCACAACAGATGACCACCTGCAAGTACCACACACACACAATGATGGATATGTTATACTCACTTTTCCTTGTCTGACTTGTAGATCTGTGCAATATCCGGTACTAAAGGATCATCTGGATTAGGATCACAAAGTAAGGAGCATATGGACAATAAAACTAAATAAAAGAGACACTAGATTAAACAAGTTACTTTGCTTTATTTCTAGAATCCTTTCATATATTCCAGTACACTGAAGAAGTGTGGTGGAAGGGAGATTGGAAAAGGAACGCATTTTGGAATTAAGCTTTCGCATAGCAGTTCTGCTCAGAAATGTTTCTATAGCGTGGTTTTTCTAGGTCCTAAGTAAACAACACTTGACACTAGTCTAGTGGCTGTAAGAGGAGCAGGCTGAGTGCAGCATTAAAACAGTCATGAGTAGTAACATTTCTCTCTTGTCTTCAGAATTTTGTGGTGATGTTAGATACGGAGTCTAACAAAATGATTTAAACTCGCAACCCATGGACCTGCACCTTCTGTAACGATCCCTCTCCCATGTTTTAACCTAGGAACGTTACACAAACTACAGACTACAGAGTTCCATCTTAGCATTTGATCAAACTAAGCCCTTTCATCTCTAATTATTTAAGATAACCAATATTGTTAGTATGACACTGCCATGCAATACTCGATTTGTGCATATCCTTCTCCCCTTCATACGAACATTTCGCTTAGTTTGATATAAGTGTGACTTCCGTTTTGGGAAAATACTTCACCATCATTATACAAAAGTATCCACTTATAGTTCCGTATTTATTTCCTGGACTTTTCTAACATTTTCAGTCCATACTTCTCAGGAAATTTCTATTTTTATACTCAGAACTAACAGGAATACAAGAGAACACAGTTAAACAATTCTAAACATGCTGTGAAAGGGAATTTGATGCTACTGTGAGAATGCTATAGGATTGTTTTCCTTGCTTTGTTTTGTTACCAAAGAGTCCAGATTAACACCTGTTTTCAGCTGCAGCAAGTCTGACCAGTTCATACTGACATATTTCATCTTATTAAGTGCCAAATACACCAGTGATGGTAGAAAATCAGGTTAGAATACTTGGTCGCATCAATCACAGCTGCTCTCGGTATGTTGTGATCCTTTGACTCAGTAAAACAAGAACTATAAAGGAGAAACTTCCATGAGCCACCGAGCTAATTTTCATTTTATGAAACGTGCAACATGCAAGCACGTTACAAGCACATAAAATCAAAACACGAGACCAGCAGGCTGCTCCACTTTGCAAGCGAAGGAACGCTCAACAAGCAGAGACACAGCAAAGTGCTAACGATCTAAAAGATTCAAAGAGTTTTCAGATGTAAATGCCAACTGTTAAACGTGGTGTGTGGCAACTTTCATTTGCTGAATACCTTCGAAATAACTAGAAACCAGACAGTTTTTGCTCAGCAATAAAACAAATAATTTCTGTGGAAAGTTGACACCAACGACACAGACGAGTAATTAATGTCTTCAGCAACTACCTCAGGGAACAGTATTAAACGTAGACTTTATTTAGCTTGTGAGATTGCTGCACAGGGCTGTTATGTGTGAGGAGACGTTGCTTTTTCAAGGAGGCAGAGCAATGGCACTTGGAGGGCCATCCTGGACAAAGACTAACAGTTTTTTCCTTGCTTGTACACCAAATGCAATGACACTGTTCTAAAAGAAGACACACGGTTTAGGGACCTCTCAAGCACATAAGCAAGATGTGATACTGTTTAACCTTTTGAGTCACAGGAGGACTTTCTGTAATATGATTAAGTGTGGCTAAGCATTTTGAAGATGGGTGAGGAAAAATAATGATAGCACCCACATATTAAGCAGCTTTTGAAGCGAATGCCTACAACAAAAGAACTGCTCAGCTGTAACCTCATTGTTCCGAAAATCTACAGTGGTCAACTCGAGAGAGTTTAACTACAGAACTAGAATATTTTAGTAAATTTTTTACCAATGTCTTCGGAAGCGGGTACATTTTAAAATATTCACCTTACAGAGGAATGTCAACCAGAACTACTTCTCTCATTTTAAAGTAAATTAAGACCTTAGCCCACACAAGGATGCTCAGGCAACCCAAAGAGCTGTCAATGAGTAATTAGGTAACCACTCACACGTCAGTGTTAGGGTTTTCCATTTACATCCACACTGATTTGATTTTGAACTGCTCACCAGTTTCTCAGTTCTGCATGCACAGTCAGCTACAATACAGAAGCTGCATTTCAGGCTAATTGGACATTTATTCACTTAGCCAACTTGTTTTAGAACATTTCTTTGCCATGCACGTAATATTTCATGTAACATGGCACTCCAAAAAAAAAAACTGTGCAAGATCTTGGATCGCAAGAAGAATTCCAATGGAATTTACCACTTCTGTAACATGCAGGAAAAATGAGCGCCCACCGCCACACTTAGTGCAGTAACACACAGAAAAGCACCGTGTATGCAATTTCATAAATACATTAGCAAACCTGGGAGTTTACCTTTAGATACAGTCAGAGCTGGTGACCACTGTGATCTCAGGATATCAAGACAAATACTCCCATTACTGTTTATGTTTGGGTGGTAAATTTTTGTTGTAAAAGCAATCTGAAATAAAAAAACAGGTAACATCAAATTATGTTTATTACATTTGGAATCCTTAACGTTGGCCCTTCAGTTCCAGTCATACTAGACCTGCCAGCACAACTTTTGTACAGTCTTATCTGTTCAGCCACTATGAACATGTGTGTTATTGCTGACCCTTCTGGTTTTAACTTCCAAAATTAAGCCGCAAAGAACTAAGACATAGAAACAAAGCTTTGACCAAAAAAACCTGCTTAAGTTTTGAAAGAAAGGACTTACCTTTGGTGGTTTGAAAGGATAGTCTGTTGGAAAGTGTACTGTGAGAAAAAATACTCCCCCTTGATATGCACTATCAGGCTAGGGAACAAAAAACAAACAAAACAAACAAAACACATTAATATAGTTCAGTTATTTCAGAACTTCCCCTTCTGAACATGGATAACCTCCCAAAGCTGTGAGTATCTTAGAAAAGCCATGTTTTCCCCAGTACACAGCCCACACTATGGGCCACAGCCCACTATGAGCTGTGTACTGGGTAGGCACAGAGGGAATTGAACCCTCCCCCTGGCCTGCAGAGCTACAGTAGAGCCAACCATGGCTACTACTGCAGTAGCCCAACGTGGCTACTGAGCGCTGCCCTGCTTGGGGAGAGAAAGGGAGGGAGCAGCGTTTGACTGGTGGACCTACAAAACTGCCGATCCATCAGCTCCACCGCACCAAGGGGAATACAAAACCCAGAGCAGGCCTTCCAAATCCTCTCTCCGTTCACCACCACAGCTGCTCTGATCCTTCTCCATCCTTAAGCTACAAATGTACTTACCTTAAGAAGTGGTTTCTCTTTGCAGGTGCAAAGAGTAGGATTTTCCAACATAATTCAGTTGATCATGATGACATCAGGGAGTTTTAAAACACACAACATCTTTGTGACCTGTACAAATCTGTGAACATGCATTTTGTTAGAGAACATGTGCACAGGTTTACGTCCAGGTTGCACACAGTTAATAGATAGAAATAACTTTGTTGTAGTCATCTGTAGAGGAAATCTTTCATTTTTATGAACTTGAAAAGTCTCACTGCTAAATGATAGAGAGCAGTGCTGCAATTTTGGATTAAAGGAAGGAGAAGAAACACTTTCTCATTACTTGGTAAGTTTAAATCAGCAACACAGAAATCCAATCTCAGCAAAGCTGCAGGATAGTAAGGTTTTGGGTTTTCTTATGGAAGCAAACAGACTGCTTTTTAAATAAAATGGTTTAGCTTGGAAATGGGCAAAATTTACAGTTTTAGAGATGAATAATAGAGGTAAAGTAAAAAATGGTCCACTAAGACATGTCATCTTATACACTCAAAATGCAGACAGTGTTGCAATGTAAGGTGGGTTATCTATAGTATTGCTAAGGAGTCAGCATGAGGTAACAGCAGAAGAGATCGTTACCATACTTCCAATTAGGTTTGAAAGGACTGCTTGCATGCATACTAAATGGATCTGTCAAAGTTAAAATGAGCTGAAGATGAGCCAAGTTCAGTGTCAGACAGAAGGCAAAGTGAAGCCACAGTATGTTTTGTGAGTAAAGTATGTAAAATAAAGTGATGATGACCACAGGCAGAAGAGGTTCTCCTACTTGCACACATAGGAAGTGAACTCTGAAGGTAGGCTTTAGACCTATGCTTCCCTCAGGCCATCAGGAAACACAGAGGATGTGCATCCCTATTTCCTTATGTTATCAATTATAAAGGATTAATATCCTGATGGTGTCCTTTTCATGTATCTCATCAGATATGGCTGAGAAAGGTTGCCAAGAGATGCTCATTCTAATCCTTAACTAGAGAAATCTGAGGAACCTGAAGCAAACAAAAGAATATTTTCCACTATAGGACAGGAAAGGTGAATTGCAAGCTGGATCTAAAAAATGGAAATCAAGTTGGGATTTCTGTGCTAGGGTTTCCCTTACTCAAGTGATCAGAGTCATTCAGGACTAAGACATTATTGGTGGCGATAAGCACATAAACTTTTGTTAACTCCTAACTTCTTCGCTGTTTTGCCATTTACCTTTAAGCGATGCAGAAGGGCAAGGGTGAGAATTACTTTGTATGTGAAAGAACACAGTTGTTAAAGAAAAGTGGCAAAAACATTAGTATCCTACAGGAGGACTCAGTTGCTGCTGGGCCGCTGACAGGTTGGACAACAAACTCCAGCATCCCACTAGCAAAGTGGTAACTGATCTTTCACTGCTTCAGAGCAGCTGCACTGAAAATGCAGAAGCAGTCTCAAAGCAGACACAATTCCACTTTCTCCACCATCTGATGTTGCATCTTAATGGATTAAGTAGTGTCTCAAAGTTAGTAAGTCCACAAGGAAAGCACTGGGAATACAACCCACTTCCCATGATATTAATAAACATTCCTTCTCTCAGCTCACGTTCTTTAGTCTTTTTGCTAAAACCCTTTTCATTTTTTTCTTTAAAACTTTCTGTTCTTGAGCTTTTTTGTCCGTCCTTATGTCGTTTCCTTGACAAGGATCATAAATCAGGTCTCTGGAGATGTCCTTCAACCCAAGGAAAGCAGGCCTTTCTCACACAGAAACCAGAAGTACCCAAAATTGCTGGTCTACGGCTTGCAAGAGCCATCTGTTTTTGTCAGAGCCACATCACAGCTATCAAATAAGCTCTATCTAAAAGCCCTAAAATCATCCTGTGCAACTCCACTCTCATTTACCGTTACCAACTTCAATACTGGATTACACTCACTTCTCCTCATTTCGGATGGATAAATCTCGCAGAATTGATCATATTTTAAGAGCAAGCTTTTCACTCTGAAGTCCACATCACCCATTCAAACACCACAGCTGACTGATTAAGCACCTCTAACTTCATGAAGAGGACTTTTTTTGAACACTTACAGAAAGAAACTGGTACCAGACTACTCAGAACACCACCACCCCCCTAAAGCTTTAATCTGTACACAGCACAGCTGAGTTTGACTGCCATGTTTACAGAGACCCAAATGAATCCTTCCGGAACAAAAAGGGAAACAAGGTCTACTTTCTAAAGGGCATGAATTATATACTTACAGGTCCCATAATTGTTGCTTGCCAATGAAACACTGAAAGACAAAAAGATACAACCATCAGAGAGTCTCTTGAGCTTTTTCATAACCGAAAAAAGGTCAACTGTGCCAATGTCTTATGAAGAGCTTACAGTCATCTCCGACAGGTCCGGCAGAACAGTGGGCCGGCGGGTCTCGCTGCAGATCACTCAGTTCCTGTAGGGAACACACCAATATTTGAAAGACATCTACCTGAAAACACACACCACTCAGCAGCATCACTTCAAAAGCGAGAACGTCAACAGATTTTATTAAACAGACCTGTGGTATTTTTAAAGAAATCAACCCTTGAAATGTCCATTGACACTGAAAGTGGTTTTGTGCCACACAGGTCTGCAGCTAAAGACAACGCTGTGCTGTAAATTAATATATGAAAATAGTTAAGAGTTATAGCCAAGTTCGTAATAAGCTGGGTATACTGAAGTAGAGACAGGGGAAAAAAGTGAAGAAAACAAAGGGTTTCTTGATTTCTCTGTAAAGTCACTGGTTTAGAAATGTACGTGCTATCTGACTTCAGCTTTTAATTCTACAGAAGCTTCTTGTATTTGCCTAACCGACATACACTGGTTAGTTAAACCAGCTCATAAAATGCAGTCTGCCGAGAGATGATAGGTAAAGATAACACAAAGGTTCCTAAGTGAACTAGGAAACAAAGGAAAAATATTAGTACTCCACATTATTTTACATACCTTGATTTAATTCCTTGCGTGTTTTTGTTTGTTTGTTTTTCAGAATGGCTACTAAAACAAAAACCAAGAAAGCTGAAATTTAAGGGGAGCATTCAGAGAAACTTTTGCAGGTGAACTGATTTATTTATCTTACCAAAGTCCACACAGTCCCAAATAATTCGAAATTATTATTTCATTACACAAAACCAGCTCAGCTTTCCACCTGATTTATCATCACTATATCAAATGCAAAAAAGCCGGGTGTTAATGTTGGTACCTTTTCTTTGTTTATGCCACTTTTGATAGCTTAAGTTTTACTGTACTAATAACAACTCTTTCCAGTTCTAAGCTGACAGGAACCGGGTTTAACCATTACGTTCCATCAAAACAAGCTAAAGTGTTAATGCTGGTACATTTTCTTTGTTCATGCCACTTTTGATATCTGAATATATAATAACAAACAACTCTTTCCAGTTCTAAGCTGACAGGAACCGGGTTTAACCATTACGTTCCATCAAAACAAGCTAAAAGACGTGTGCTAAACCACTGTTTGTAAGTCAGTCAACCAATTACTCAAACCATACACTCTTAAGTCAACAACAGACATAAGCAGGTCTGCAAATAGCCCTTTGATTTTAGCACAGGGAGTAACACTGAAAACATTTCCACTCAAAAATTCTTAGTCAAGACAACTATTTCCAAAAATCAAGGTTTAACTTGGAACCAAGTTTAACGCAAGCATAGAATTTCCGTACATGGCATGATCAGACCTTACGTACAATTTGAAGGGTTGAAACTCTGCACTTCTCAATTGCTCAGATATATTTATCCATTTGTGACATGCAGGAAACATTTCAGCTCACCCAGTTCTCTCTTTCAGGGACCCAGTTTGCCATGGACCAGGCACCTAAATCCAGGCACGCTTCTTACAGGTCCACGCTTGGCCTTGAATTCAAAGAAAGGCACTGCAACACATCTTCAGCCAGGTAAACTTGCTCTGAAGTCACTCCTCACAATCTTTGCCGTTTAAAACAAACGAGACAGTTCTTTGATATATACTGAGATCTCTCAGGTTGCCAACTAGAGTTTAACTTTATTCTGTTGGTGAAATGGTACACTGGTCCAAAAACAACACTCTGGGCTGGATTTTGACTAATAAAGGCAATAGGAAAACCCTTCAAAAGTGCAGTTCCCCTTTTAATCACAGGATTCAAATTTCACTAAGAGGGTGTTACAGAGAACCAGTAATCTACGCAAAGCTAAGTCCTTGCCAGTGCATGAAGGGAGTCAACAAGTCTCAGGTTTCCAGGAGTCAGGAGAGCTGTAGTAAGCATTACCAGCAGCTGAGCAGCTACAGCCACTCTCTGACCTGCAACTCAAGATCTAACCCACCAAGAGCTTAAGTCTTGTACACCCATTAGAAAAGAGCCAGCTACATGGGACTGTTAGCCAAAACAAGCCTAGAAATCAGGTGTTTTATAGCACTCAAGGCTGACTACTAAATTAAAAGCAATGAGGGGCAAAATAAGTTTAAGGGGAGTGCAGGGCATTTTCTCTCTCTCTCTCTGGCACCGGCCCTGACCAGCGTGGCCCCAGGTGTGGGTGGCGCGGCCCCGGCCCTGCCCAGCTGGACTTGGCCGGCCCTGACCACAACTTAAGCTTAAGCCCCGCTGCAGCTTCATCCTGAGAAAAAGAGAGAGAGAGCTGGGAACTCCATAACCATCAGAAGAGACCTGCAGCAGTGAAAGGAGTGGGGCCCGAGGAGAACAACTTTGAAGAACACCAAGGTCGGTTTGAAGGAAAGAAAGGAGAGGGAGGAGGAGGAGGACGCAGAGCCCAGGTTTCCCCTTTGCAACTCATGGCGAGAGCCGGGTCGACTGGTGGTGTGTGAGGGGACTGTGACCATGGGCAGACCCAGATTGGAGCTTTGTGGACTTGGGCTGAAGCAGTTTTGTGTGTGAGAGAAACTGCAGCTGTGGGCAGACCCAGATTGGACTTTTGAGGACTTTTTCCCCTATGGAAAGGGGGCGACGTGGAAGCAGAGAGAGACACTGGGCTGAGGTTTTTTTCCTACTCCTGAGCAGGAGCACGTGGCAGGAAGACCGACCGCAAACCCCCACTGCCATCCCCCTGCACCTCAAAGCAAAGGGGGAGGGGGAAGGTGAAGGAACCAGGAACAAAAGCTGAGCCCGGGAAGAAGGGATGGGTGTGGGGAAGGTGTTTGACTTTAAGATCTGGTTGCATCTCCCCTTGTTCTACTCTGATGTTGGTAACAAATTAAAATTGTTTTGTTTTTATTCCTTATGATGAGTCTGTCGTTTGCCTGTGACCTGTTTAAGTGATGAGAAGCCCTCCCAGTCCTTATTTTGACTGGCCCTTTTTTGGGGCATCATTGGTGCATCATAAAAGTATAAAGTTAGTGAAGACTGGAAGGCCAGTTTAACACTTCCATGTTTCCTTAGCTGGCAGGCTTCTCTCCTAAGCAGCTTCTGGAACAAGATTGTAAAGGATACCTTGATAACAAGGAGATAAATATTCTCAGCATAGTACTCAGGAACACTCAGTGGCTGTGAGCATAAGCAGTAATTTAAAAAAAAAAAAAGCCCTAAAAGTGTCTCCATTTTTCAGTTTAATTTTTTTAAAAAGTCAGAAAGAAAAGACTATAGACTATCAGAAGACCAAAAACTGCAGGCAGCATCACTAAAAGCTATTTTAATTCTCTAAGCGACACAAAACCACAATCAGAGCCTTTTTCCACACTGTTATTTAAAATATAGCTTTTTATATTTGACAGCTATGTTCTTCATTTCTTGCACAAAACGCACGGTAGGGCACAGACTCACTTCCTACCAACTCCATGCATACACTGCTGCTATGATATCATTGCTGTCTGGAACCATCTGTCAAAAAACCCCAGCAATTATACTTAGACTAGTTAAAGGATTTCCTGTTCTTCACAAATTTGGTAAATTTAAAGCAAATATAATCACAGAATCATAAAGGTTGGAAAACACCTCTAAGATCATCCAGTCCAACCGTCAACCCAACACCACCATGCTCACTAAGCCGTGTCCTGAAGTGCCACATCCATGCACTTCTTGAACACTTCCAGGGCTGGTGACTCCACCACCTCCCTGGGCAGCCTGTTCCAGTGTGTGACCACTCTTTCAGTAAATAAATTTTTCCTGATATCCAATCTAACCCTCCCCTGGCACAACTTGAGGGCATTTCCTCTCACCCTATCACTAGCTACATGGAAGATGAGACCAATATCCACCTCACTACAGCTTCCTTTCATGCAGCCACAGAGGGCAATAAGGTCTCCCCTCGGTCTCCTCCAAACTAAACAACCTCAGCTCCCTCAGCCACTCCTCATAATTCTTGTGCTCCAGATCCCTCACCAGCTTTGTTGCCCTTCTCTGGACATGCTACAGATCCTCAATGTTGTTCTTGTAGTGAGGGGCCCAAAACTGAACATAGTAGTCAAAATGCAGCCTCACCAGTGCTGAGTACAGGGGAAGGATCACTCCCTTAATCCTGCTGGCCACAGTATTTCTGATACACCCCAGGATGCCATTGGCCTTCTTGGCCACCTGGGCACACCGCTGGCTCATGTTCAGCCAGTTGTCAACCAGCACCCCCAGGTCCTTTTCTGCCTGGCAGCTCCAGCCACTCCTCCCCAAGCCTGTAGCTTTT